GGTCTGTCAAGCTCTGGTTCCTCAGTCCTTGAATTTGGAGCTGGCCAACATGCCTGGCAACTCTCTGGATGCTAGGATGTAACTCCTGTCTTTCTGATTGCAAGGCCAATGGTTTTACTGGATCAGCTGCATCTACTTCTACATCTAGTTACTTTTCCCACAGTTTTTTCATTATAAGTGATTATTTAAGTTTTCCTAATTAAAATTTTATTTCAGATGTTGGGGTGGAGGGGCCACATGAAGAGGACAGAGGGCCATTTCTGGGAGCTGGTTCTCCTTCCACCAATCCCTATGGATTGAACTCAGATTGTGTATGGAGGAAAGTGCCTACTCCCTGGGCCATCTCACCTGTAATTATAAATCCTTTTTCTTTCTTTCTCCCCGCTGCCCCCCCCAGACTGGGTTTCTCTGTGGTTTTGGAGGCTGTCCTGGAAGTAGCTCTTGTAGACCATGGATTGAATTCAGATTGTGTATGGAGGAAAGTGTCTACTCACTGGGCCATCTCACCTGTAATTAATTATAAATCCTTTTTCTTTCTTTCTCCCTGCTGCCCCCCCCCAGACTGGGTTTCTCTGTCGTTTTGGAGGCTGTCCTGGAAGTAGCTCTTGTAGACCAAGCTGGTCTTAAACTCACAGAGATCATCCTGCCTCTGCCTCCTGAGTGCTGGGATTAAAAAGGTGTGTGCCACCACTGCCTGGCTATAAATGTTTTTAATGTTGCAATAAATGTAGTTTCACCAATTGGGTTTTATGTTGCTAAGCTATGATGTTTTGATATTTCTGATTTGAGGGTTTCAAATTATTGAAAATTTTGATGAGGTCATTTGAACTGAATAAAAAATGTATCAGGGCTCTTATTTTAAAGTTTTCATTCAAAGTGAAAAGTTTAATTTAAAACCTATATTCATGTATTTCTATTTATGAACAAGTACAACAAAACAGCTATTTACTATTTGGGTCTGTGGTCCTACCACAGCCAGGGTCTGTACAGATGTCCGTGGCCCATATTGCCACCAAAGGCCACTTAGATGCCTGGTGTCTGGGCAGCAACCTGTGGTTAATAAGGGCATCTGAGGACGGACTGCCTCCAGGGACATCCTGATCTGAGTGGTCTGAGCTGTCACCTGAAGCCATGGTGTCATGCATACCAGGACTATTGCATATGGCCTTGTCTAGGTCCATGGCCATACAGCAGCCAGGGTCTGAGTTAACATTCTGGGTTTCTCCTTTTGTCACAGAGGGCCATGCAGAAGACTGGGTCTGGTTGGCCACCTTAGACCATGTCAGTGTCCAAGGACTTTTGCACCCAGGACCATGTTGATGTGGGTGGCTGATGTTGCCACCTGTGCCATGGAGACATCCAGGCAGAGGCTACTACCTAGAGCCATGTCTGGGTCCATGGTCCTGCTGCAGCTGGGGTCTGTGGTGATGTGCAAGGCCATGCAAGCAGGGGGATCATTAGAAGCGTGCTGTACTGAGCCAGCCCTGCCCTTCACGCCCAGGGATGGCTGGCCCGTCCCCTTGCTGGATACTGAAACAGTGGCCCCATCCCTCAAGGAAGAGCTTGTCCACACACTGGGGAAAGATGGCTCCACCCCTCACCATAAGCTGGGAAGCACATTAGAGCTGAGGTCAGACCATAGGATTAGGGAGGCAGGTGAGCAGCCCTGAGGACGTGAGAGCAGGAGAGCTGACCGCCTTGCTCAAATCTGCCATGTGGTGGCGTGGCTGAGGAAAGATGCCCTCCCACCCTCACCTGTTGCCGCCTGTGGCAGGCCAGTGAGCTGGCCTCTGGGTCATGAGAATTACAGAACTAGCCCTGCCCCACACCAGCTGCAGTACACAGGAGAGCAGGCCCTGCAGCCCATTAGTACACTAGAGTGGACCCTGTTGTGGCAGAGGTGGAGGGTGGGGAGTGGGGGCTGAGGTGAGCCAGCCCTGAGGGGGTGAGAGCAGGAGAGCCGACCCCTCTCCTCTTTTTATCTCTATAGCAATCAGGAAATAGAGCCCAGCACCTTCCCTGGGAAAAACAGTAGATCCGGCCCTGGCAATATGAGTGTGGCAGATTGGATCTGAGTGCCACACTCATATTTCCAGGGCCGGATCTACTGCTGCAGACTGCATTAGGTGAGCTGGCCACAGCAGTGCTAGAGAGCTCACCTGGGTAGTGACAATGAGCTAAAGCTATTGAGCTGGCCAAGCCAGATACCATCCAGGCCCAGACCCAGGTCAGTAGAGGACTTGCTCTAAGCTCTCATCTGTAAACTGTTGGAACATGTGAAGGACTCTCTCTAAGCTCTCATCTGTAAACTGTTGGAACATGTGAAGGGGACAAACTTACAGACCCAAAATGGCAGGATCTCCATGACACAGGACAACAGGATATCTAAGAGGATCTCCAATGAGAGCCCATTATGGATGGTGTAGCAGAAACCAGAGGTGTTGAGCCAGACCAATGACTCCATGGCAATGGACATTTACAAATAAAGATGAATGAACTAAAGGATAAGTAAACTGTGTTACTCAACAGGCCACACTACAGCTTCCATGACAAGATTCTTCTTCCTTTTTTAAACTTTCATTTTGGTGTTTGATTTTTGTATCTTTTTATTTTTGTTTGTTTTTTGGTTTTTCTTTTAAATTTGGTTTTGATTTGGTGTGGAACATTGCAAGAGCAGAGGACAGATGGGAAGAGATGGGGAGATAAGTGGGATTGGACACATGGTGTGAAATTCACAAAGAATAAAAGTAAAAATAAAAAAATAATATTGAATGAAAAATTCATTTAGAAACTATATTTATATATTTGTATTTATGCACAACTGCAAAAAATAGTTATTTACTATTTGAAACACACACACAGAGACACACATACTAAATTCAAGAAAACATTACCCAATACAACTTTTTTATTTAGTTGACCGAGTCTCCAGATTTTGTGGAAAACTGAATAAGAAAGATAGAGAAAAAACAGAGAGACTATACACTATTGGTTTAATTAGGAAAAGTCCATTTTAAGGTGATCATTTTGTGATTCATTTTTTATTACATCAAAAGAATGGAATTATGTTAGTTATATTTAGCCTGAAATGTTCATTTTAAAAATCTCTACCATGAAATGTTTGTAGTTAACACTGGCAGATAATTTATACTCTGTTACTACCCCTGACATGATTCAAGTAGGGCTTTTTGGTTCTTAGAATGTTACTACTGACCTAAGGATTGAGTGTAAAGACATCATTTAGTCCCAGTCATGCCTGTCTTAACCATTATTACTTGTTTGTGTATCATAATCACTTAATTTATAAAAATACTCTTACTTGGGGACTGTCTTAGTTAGGGTTTCTATTGCTGTGTAGAGACACCATGGCCCTGGAAACTCTTATAAAGGAAAAGCATTTAATTGGATGACTTTCAGTTTCACTGGTTTAGTCCATTATCATCACAG